TATACATATATATATATATATATAATTTACAAAAAGTATCGGAGAGTCGGCAAAAAGATCCTTGTCTTTGGCGTTCGAGTCATCCCTGAAAAACCCCTCAGAACTGGTGTAGAGAGAATTGGATTCTTTTAAGTTGGTTGGATCGACCAAGCCCAATTGAATGAACTGGTCAATTGTTGTGATGCCACCGATTAAAAGATGCTTGCCTAAAATCTTCTCCTGCCTTGGATGGGATGGAAGCGACTCAAAAAATCTTTCCTCTGTCTTCATAGTCGACAACTTTAACTTCAACTCGTGATTTTCTTATTTGGCGAGCGACAAAAGATCCGAGACAGTGTTGAGCTCTTTCTCAACCATCACTAGCTTTTTCTCAGCCGTCATGGCTTACATGCTTCTTTGCCTTCGTTGCAAGCCCGGCCGAGGTCTCGCCTTTCTCTACAACAGCGGCCCACTACATCTCGGTCTGGTCCAAAGCCATTGACTGAAGGTGGGAGGCCTCCCATGCCATCAAATGGTACCGATCCACTTTCTTGTATAGATCTGGCCGCTCGATCTACCGGAGAGACTTAACGAAGGCTCGTGACCAAATAACTTCTAAAAATGCAGAATGGTAGATCTCAATAGACGGTGAGTTGCCATACCAATCCACCGACCGGTGAATAGCAGTGAGCCGGCTATCTAAAGAGTTCCAAATATTGGTCCCTTGAACCTCAGAGGGAACACAGCTAGCTAAGGAACCCTTCCTCTTCTCCTAGTAAGAAGGGGTGAAGGTGTTGACTCCGCAACCAGCTCCTTACCCTCGCGGTGTTGAATGCCTTCTGAAGATCCCACTTCTAGATCAGTTTCAGACTCGACCCCTATAGAGTAGTAAGTTGTCTGGCCTCGCTCCTGACAGATAGGTCAATGAACGAAGCATGTGCAGCCGACTGTGCTTACACCTCTTCCTTGGAAGAGCCCCCTTCATCAACATCCACTTCGAGGTGACTAGAAAGCCCCCAGCTTCTCGTCGACTGGAAGGAGCTGCATCCAAAAGATAAGTGTCAAAATTAATATGAGTTACACAGTTTCTAGCCATAATGGCTAATTCGTCAGTTAAAATCTGTTGAATCACTACTGTGCCTGCAGAAATGGAAACGAGAAATTCCTGACCTACTAAGCTAACCACTCCTCTTGAGCCTCAGTTGTTCTCCCCTTAGTCGCCACCGCTTCATTCCCGGAGACTTCTCCTGCCTTGGCCTCAGCCTTCTTTTTGGTTGTCCGCGTGACCACCTCTTTTTCTTGCTCGACTTCAGCAGCATCAGAGGTGGCCCACATTTCCGCTGTGATCCGGGCAACTCCTGGAAACAGAACTCGGTTCACAGTAACCGGCTCGGTATACTGAGAAACTGAAAGCAGTTGACCATCAATGCCAACCTTTTCAATCCAAGAGTAATCGATGCTCTTCTTCTTCTAGAAGACATCACCAGTCGAAACAGTCCTTATGCCCTGGCTTTCAGTCGACAAGGCGATGACAAATTTATATTTCCAATCTTAAACATTGCTCTTTAGCCCGACAAATTGGAACCTGCCAACTATTTCAAGTTAGACATATATATCTGCTCCACGTGAAAAGAGAACATATGGCTGAACAGGTCGGTCGACCACGAGATTTTCTTTCACCGGCAAAAAACGATGTAGATCATAATTGTTGCAATAGATTTCGGCTTGATTTGCACAGGAATAACTTTGTATTGGTTAAAAATGGCCCGAAGTTCGTGACACAAAAGCAATCACAGCACATATCTAAATTGATCTGGTTAGACCACCAAGTCATCCTCGTACTTAACAACCGCCCTTTCATCCAGGCAAACAACTCAGCTTGATGGTCGGGTTAAAAAAAAGGCTTCTGTTACAAAAACAACCTCTGATGGAGACAGAATGGAGCATTTGTGAGTTCTTTTAGGAGCCATAAAAATAAAAGAAAGGAACATCGAGCAGATAAAGCCGAACAGAAAGACAAAAAACGGGCGGCAATATCATGGGAGAAAAGACAAAAAGCCCTCACCCAATTTATAGAAATTTAACGAAAGTGGAAACACCGCATGAAAATTGAGAGAAAATGTTATGTCAACATGAAAATTGAGAAAGTCAAAAACAAAACATTTTATTTATTAAAAAAGATAATTACAATCAGAACATAATCTGACAAAAAGTAATTTACAAATTGGTCCTCGGCCGCCTCGGCGAGGACAAGACATCTCCTAACCGACCTCCTATATAATATTAGACCGCCAAGCTTGAACTGGTTCTCTCGATCAACCCCAGAATAAACACTCTACACAAGCACATCTTCCCGAAGTTCAACAACATCTCGACGAAGTTTGACTACTTATTCTCGCATTCCCTCCAACACAACACGAAGATCCTCATCCCATCAGGTCAAAGCAGCCTCCACTTCTTCCACACGACATGTCAAGGTTCTTGGGAACATGAAGTGTGTCCCTCAGAAGTCTCCTCCCAGGCCTCCACAAAATCGGCTTGACCATCAATCACGTTCTCCTCGTTGCTAGTCGGCTCTATGAGAACAGGATTCACTAGCAAAGTTGAGTTTTGATTACAACCACAAACTGACAATCCACCGGCTTGAGGATCTTCATCTACAAAAAGCGAAAATCTGTGAGCAAAACTGCAAGAAGCCCAAGTAAATCACTTACCCAAAATCCGACTCATTTTGGACCAAGTAGTTTCACCCACATCAAAAGACGGGAAGTTACCAGCTGAACCCTTATCGCCGGCCGGAGAGTCACTTCCATCAACTCTTTGTACACTAGTCAGCAAGGAAATGTTAGCGACCCCCGATAGGACCGAACTTCAGGAGTCTTTATTAACAGATCGACTGTGGGGCCACCCAAATCCTTCCCAACGTTGGGATGAACCCTCTTCGGAGTCCCTCGAATAATGACTTCCCTATCTCAACTCGCTCAGTGGGTTTTAGTTTCTTTGCCAACCTCTTTTTCTTCGACTCACCCTTAGGTCGACTTATACCGAGGGCAGCCAGCTTACCCGATCTGCGGGTTTTAATGTTGAATCAGAATCTTTCTCCATAATCAGAAGCCCAGTGAAAGAAAAGAAAAATAAACTTGGGATAATAAAGTTATCGCTTACGCCCTATATGTAAGGTTGGTGGACATGAAAATTGAAGGAGCTTATTTATTGCATTAAATTATGACTATTAAAATTCAATTTAATTACATTTAAATATTTGCTTGTCCTTATGCAGCTGTTGCTGTCAAGGAGAAATAAAAATAAGAAACTTAATATGTATACCTAAAAAGGGCCTGTACAAACCTCAAGGCATTCTGACGGACCAACTCAAATGCTAAGCAATCAGAAAGACGACAGACAGAAGAATCACCAATCCGTTGGTGAAAAAACTGACCGAAAGGCCGACAACCAACCAACAGGCCCCCCAGTTCGACCAAAAATAACCTCCCCAATGACCGAACAAAGTTCCATCACCCTCAGCGATCTCTCAAGCATTAATGAGAGGCTCTCTCAATAGTCCCCCCCTCCAAAGACTTTCGCTGAACACAAAGCTAACCTGCCACACCATGACTGACCAACTACCACTCTAAAAGCTGATCTGCTTCCTAGAGCGAAGATTGACCGATATACATACAAAAGAGGTGACCGACATTAGCATGGTTGAATGACTCAATGACCTGCCGACTGAAAGGTTCAAGAACATTAAATAATGCCCAAATTAGTTACAAATACGAAAATTCATGACAAAAAGACAATAATGCCCTTTAAACCCCAATTAAAGCAAGGGCGAATATGTAATTTTTCATTTTATGACCCTCTATCTTCTATAAATATAGGTCTATTAAATTTAAAAGAGTCTCTCTAGACCCATACTCTGCTGAGAAAACTCTCCTTTTCTCTTGTAATCTCAATTTTTCATATATAAAATGGATCACAGAGCCCGGGAATACCTAGTTCGCCCCTACGGGGCAAATATTTGTGCTCTTTATTTCTTCTACTTCATCTCTCCACTTCTCCCACTAGGTTACCATCGCTCTAATCCTTGGGCATGCATTATAGGAAAAATCAGGATTCAACACACTGCACTTCTTTTTCAACAAACAAAAAAGCATCTCCCCCTTCTTAGTGCTCAAGCTTCTCCACGAAAGCAACAATGACATTCTTCTATGATTGTTATATGGAGCAACACTCACAATGCCACTTCCTCCCATCGCCTACATCACAAAACTCCTCACTCCCTTATATACTCTTTCTTCTCTCTCCACGTCATGGATCACTATTTCAGCATGCAATGCACTTGGGAGGTCACAATTGATATATATATGTCCTATTTGGAAGTGTGAACTAAAAAAGATCAAAGTAGGGGTAGACACTCTAATGTTCAAATCCATTTGTAGCTCAAAAGATTAAGCCTAAGAGAGAGTAAAAAAAAATGGTATTTCTACACAAAAATATGTTTCACCTATACAACTAATGCCATTGTACTACGCATTATCATAATACACTACTTATACATATTTTTATGAATTCCCTAAGAATCAAAACATTTCAAGCAACCTTGAGATGGCTCGATGGCACAAAATAAAAAATAGATGAGCATTGGTTCAATCAAGTTCCATCAAATTTCATTAGATCCATACTTGAGCTGAAACTAGATCTGCTCGATATTGGAATTTCAGCAGCCCTATCAACTAATGCAGGGTAGGTTAAAGAAGATACGAGCTGCATATGATGAGAAGCCGCCTACCATTTTTCTTGGCTGCACGCAAAAGCAATTCTGCAATGAGGTACTGTGCAGGATCCCCTTCTGGCATGCTCTCCATAAACCATGCAACATGTGAAACTACCTCCTCGTTGCTAAAATACTGATAAAGACCATCAGACGATAGGACCAAGAATCGATCATTTGAGCATAGACGATGATAGGCAACAGATGGTGTGCAGCTGACGTATGGTGAAGTCCCAATATAGTCAATCCGAAACATCTCCAGCAAACCATCATTAAACTTCGGCTGCAGAAAAAAGCATTGCTCGGTTTCATACTCATGGAAAAAAGCTTTTTCAAAAAATAAAATATTAAAACTAATCAGTAGCATTAATTGAGAAAATAGAAAACATATATTTTCTTTGTAAATTTTAAAATTATCAAAAAGTGTCATGATAACTTGACGGTATTCAAAGTCAAATGTTAATTTTAGTAATCCATGTACTACCAAAAGTATAGTACTACTTCACAATAGAGACGTATAAAAAAAAAGCATCCAAATCAAAAAAAGAGCATCTCTATGTTTAAGTGAATATGGCTGCAGGAAGAAATTAACTTTTTACAAACAAGATATCCAAATACCCAAGTAATTTATAGCATTCAACACGCTCTGTTCCACATTATGTTATGCAAAAACTAAGGGCTTATGTGGGATCTTTTTCTTGAGTTTCTTGCTTTTATTTTTTCCTTTATTTTAAAAGCACTGTTGTTTAGTGTATTTTTTGTATGTTTTAATTTTTTATTTTAAAAAATAAATTAGCTTGTTAAAAAAAAAAAACATCTAAAAGTTATTTTAAGTGTTTGTTTTAGATGTTTATTTCAAGTAAAAACATAAGCAAAATAAAATAAAGAAAAATATAAAACAAAAATTGAAGTAATACCATACTGCCCTTAATTTATTAAATAAAAGAATTAATGATATTCAAAGAGCTTTTCTCGGCTTAAAGATGTTATAGATAACTTACACCTTTTTTAGAGATTGATAAGGTGAAATAAGAATTGTATTAGCAATTTTACAAATACAAAAAGGACAAGATGAAAACGGTTATAGAAAAGAGATGCTTATAGAAGGAGACTTTTTGGACCGAGATTTGAAAATACTTTTGCTTCAACATATTGTTATTCATTATCGTTTCATTATAATACTTTCATATAAATGAGAATACATAGTATGATGAAGTAAACGAAAAAAGCAATCTCAACAAAAACAACAACAATAAGCCTTTATCCTACTAAGTGAGGTCGGCTATACGAATTTTATATGTATATATATATATATATAT